AGAGAGAGAGAGAGAGAGAGAGAGAGAGAGAGAGAGAGAGAGAGAGAGAGAGAGAGAGAGAGAGAGGGAGGGAGGGAGGGAGGGAGGGAGGGAGGTACGATAGTGAAGCCAAGAGAGTAATTTAGCAGTAATTTGTGAAATGCCAGAGATGCATTCAATTTATGAGCCTATCACCAAGTACAAGTCCCAGACCACAATGACAATGAACAGCTCCCCGCACACCCTCAGACCAAAGTAGACAACCCACTAGTTATTATGGTGTGAACCACCACTACCTTCCGCCGGCGAACTCGAAACACCGATGTATACCATAAACCGCATTTTTCAGGTGAACAGTGCTCTAGGCCACAATAGCTGGCGGCGTCAGCCAGAAAGCAAGAAGAAGAAAAAAACATCACTCTGGCACTTCCGCAAAGCTTGGCGCGCAGTTCTTTCCTGCCTTGGCAAAATGAGCCTTGGAGGTAATAGCGGTTGAAGCTCTCCACGAGCATGTTTTTTTCTGTGGAAACTGTTATCCACTGACCTTTATAGTGCCTTCCTATATCGGTACGTTGAACTGGGTCATGATCCTCATAGTGCGCAGGCAAAACCTATGCAAACTCTCCACTGTGAGGTCCCGCAGGTGCCGTGCCCCTACTCAGAAAGTCTAAATCTGCTCAAAGAACTTCTTAGCACTTACCTTCAACTTACGCTATCATAGAACAAAGAAGCACTAACTCCCTTTCTTTTTTCGGGGGGGGGAGACTACGCAGGAGTCACAAAAATGAGTTATAATTGCACACTGTGCCAATATACAGTTTCGAATTGCAGTTCGGGCAATGTATACAACCCAGTTTTCTGGCCAGGTAGGGTGCCCAAACTGCAATTGCAAACTGTATCTTGCCCCGTAGTGCAATTAAGTTATAACTCGTTTTTGTGACTCTACTGAAGTTACCCCTGTTTATTCTTCTTTTTTTTCAAAACTGTCTCCTCCGCATCAGGAGACAGCTGTATGGTTTCTTTTTTTTTTTTTTTTTTTTTTTATCAATTCTTGCGGAGGTATCAATACTATGACAGACTTCACAGTCTGTTACGCCCGTGCATACGCTGCCGAAGCCGCAGACTTCACACACAGCTAGTTGAATTAACAATTGAACATAACAAGGTGTAGCGCAGTCTGGTAGCACATCTGTTTTTTTACTACAGAGGGTCATAGGTTCAAATCCTGTCACCTTGAGTCAAATTGAGGGGTGGAAAAAGGGGTGGTTCATGCCAGTTGAATTACCTATTGAAAATCGTCAGACATAACCCGTATGGCTTTCATTCACAGGTTGGAAAAAGGGGTGGTTCATGCTAGGCAGGTCTCGCCTCAAAACGACTGGCACGAACCCCGCTAAAGGCACGAAGTTCATCGTATGTGGTGTAAGTGGGTGGACTAAATTTGACTGACATCCTGTACATCCATAGAATCTCCCAGCCCGGGCCAGTCAGTGCCATGGCCGATTGTCCCGGCGGCGGGGTGTGGAAACAATCCATTGCCCTATAGGTCCACGTGCCATCCTCTGCCACCCAGTTCTTTCCACGGTACTTCTACGTTTTCGTGGACTTCTGCTAGCCGGCAATGAGGGTCTAGCCATCATCGGTCTCTAAAGAACTTGATGGCCTGTTCTCTCACCTCCCTGTCAGGCATGCTGGCCATATCCTCAGTCAATTTACGACTGGCTTTCAGGATGTTTGCCCTGAGCACTTCCACTAGCTCCGCTTTTGCCTGGTGGAATCCAAAGGCGGGTATCTTGTCTTTCTGCAGAGCACCTCATCCTCCATTTCACCATGAGCGCAGCCAGACTCATGTGCTTGAAGAGGCTAAGTTGAAACGGTGTCCAAGATGATTGAAAGGTTCTCTGCCATCCCAGCAGGATAAGTCCGACATCCCAGTGGAACACTTTGCCTGTTAGTGTGTGCCAGAGGGCATCCCATCACTGCCACATCCGTTTGGCCATCGGGCATGCAAACAGAGTCTTCCAGGTTCGCCCGACTGCATTGTGCATTGTCTCCGCAGCGGGCAGCGGGCGCAGATGGGGGACAGCACACCTGCTTGTTCCAGGGCGGAGCGGGAGATCACCCAGTCTGGAGTTGGGAGGCAGCGGTGAAGTATTTGCCGCTGCAGGGCCCTGTGAGACGTGGGCATTATGTGTGCGCATGTTTCCCAGGGGATGTGGTGCAGGGCGGAGTCACTCACCGCGGAGTCCCTTTCCCACCGATTATGTACGACCGGTGTGGAAGTTTTGAGAGAATGTGCTTGTTTGTACCCATCTCTTACCGTGCATTGCCAAACTGGGATGGGCTTGCGGCCGCTCCATTCCCACTCGTCCGGCTAAAAGGGGAGGGCACAGACCGGGGAGGCCATTTCATAGGCGACCCGTGTCTTCACCAGTGCTTCCTTAAGTCGTGCCCGTATACAAAGCCACAATTTTAGGAAACATACGGGCCACTACAGGAGTGCCCAAAATCATCCGACTAGAAACATTTCTACTCTATTTTGTGTTCGCGGCCGATAGCTGGGCCAAGTACTGGTGGTTTAAAGCACCAGTACTTGCCAGCTATTGGCTGCGAGCCCCTTTCAGAGGCTGCCCTCCACCGATTCATTTTATCTACGGCGCTCAGCCTCCTAAATTTTAGGAGAGGCTCAACACAAGGTCTCCAGTTGCCTGGGGCCATCTACTGCTGGCTTAGGGGACACTTGACATGGCACGCCTGTGTCCAGTACTGTAAGCATTTCAGTCATCTTCATGTTCTTATTTTTCAAAACGGGCAACGGCCTTGACCTATCATCGTTGACTGACCGGCCCCAGGTAATTATCTTCACAACGTTCACGTTCTTTTTTTTCAAAACGGGCAACGGCCTCGACATATCATCATTGACCTGACCAGCCCCAGGTAATTCAGAATTATAATTCAATTATTATCTTTTTTATTGTATCTGGATTTGAACTTGGGTTTGTATTTCAACAGTTTGTGGGTGCACCAACTGAGCTAGGCCACTCCGTAGTTTCACGTTCCAAGTCCTTCGTCATGGCGAAATAGGAATGGTGGTGATTTGCTAACTTTGTCCTGACCAGGGTTATTGCACACAGAAGATCGGAAGAGATGTGGGTTGGAGACAGTTAAAAGAGTTCACAACTTCACATCACGCTTGCGCTTGGCGGCATGTGCGTAAAGAGAAACGGAGGGGATCCCTCTACTCCATGTACTTGAAAAGAAAAGAAAAGAAAAAAATGATCAATCATGTTCTAGTCCGTCAGTGGATACTCTGAGAGGAAGACATTCGAGAGTTCGCAAGTCGACAAGAACCGCGGTCCCTGACTCTGTGAAACATGGAAGACACACGATTCTAACTTGCTGCCCCTCCGGCTCCTTGATAAGCCGCGAGCTAAATGCTGGTTGATTCCCAATGAAATACACATGTGGACAGCTGTCAATCACAAATGGTTCGGATGTCGTGAACGGGTAACAACCCAAGGTATCGGGGCACGTGGGGGCCAAGTGTCGCCATCTCAGGGTTTTCTCCGCAAGCGCGAGTCGGTCCTCTGCCACTGAAAACTTGTACAGGTCCTGCACATTTTGTCCTGACGTCCCAAGAAAGACGACTCCGTCGACCTCAAAATGATGCGGATTTGGCGAACTGAAAAATGTGGAGTACTGCCGAGCACCAGGGAACAGACAGGAGTGAAGTGGTTGTTGCGGCAGTGAGAAGTTGGCGGGGTCCTTAGCCCCCGGCATGATGTCAACAGGCATGGATGCCGCCAGCTCTGTTAGTGCCAGATCTAGCTCCTTTATCGGAGAAGTTAACCTCGATTGGTCGCGACCAACGACCGGCTTCCCACCCAGCAACTCGGTCGGCAACCGCACGGAATCGCCCGCGATAACCAACCGGACAACCTCAGCACTCTGGCCTTGGTCCTCGTCACCACCAAGATAGCCTGACAAGTGGTCGACGAGCAGCTGAATGAGCAATGGATTGCCTCCATCGCTGCCTGCATTTAGTCCCGAGACAAGCGCGACGTACTTTGGCGAAACCGGTCCGCCTCCCTCTTCTGCAGGAGTCCTGTTCAAGGGCTGCTGAGGAGCAAGTCCTGCTTCGACCAACGCCGACACGTGGAACTCCCCGCTCCCAGTCTCCCGGCCAAGTACCCCCACAACCACACCAGTGACGTATCCTCCAACATCAACACCATCGCCAACAAGCTTCACTCTCCCACTCTCATCTTCAAGAATCAGGTGGTCATCATCCCTAACAAATTTCGATGCAGTGACAAGCGGCACATTCGATCGCTCTTTCGCGTATTCATCAAGGATCGACGGCTTCAGTTGCATGTGCTTGTAGATGGTCCCAATGACTGCACACTCCACACCCTCTTCCAAGTTGAGGACGTTGGAGATTCGCATGCCAGGCCAAGTTGATTGGACCCTCTCCTTCAGCACAGGCCGGAGGAGTTGTAATCGCATATAGTAGACATTACTGTACTGCTGCCGAAACTGTCGCTCCCTTACGATGAACCTCTCATCTCTGGGTTCGTACCTCGCAGTCTTGCGCACATGCTGCTGACCAGCACCATCTATTTCCATATCTATGGATGGCATGACGGACAACCCACTCACTTGCCCTTGCAATCGTCACAGTAAAATGTAGCCACAGTAAAACGTCAAGCGGCAACAGTAAAACGTCACCTGGCCACAGTCAAATCGCCACAGTAAAACGTCAAGCACCGACAGAAAAGTTGCACGGTTACTTGCACCCACCTACCTACAGCAAAATGTAGAAAAGCTCAATGGTCATGTGCAATCACAACTTCAAAACCCAGACTCTGTGTCTTGTCTAAAAGCACTCAGCAGCGGCAGGATCCACAGTTCTAGTCGCCGAATGATGACGGCCTGATGGGTCTGAAAACAACTGAATATCAACCCAGATTCTGTTTCTTGCCTAAAAGCACTCAGCAGTGGCAGGAGCTGCAGTTCTAGTGGTCGAACGATGACGACCTGATGGGTCTGAAAACAACTGAATATCAACCCAGACTCTGTCTAGGTTCTGTTGCCTAAAAGCACTCAGCAACGGCAGGAGCTGCAGTTCTAGTAGTCGAAAGATGAAGACCTGATGAGTCTGACAACAACTGAACATCAGTAGACTCAGTACTCACAAGAAGATTGAGCTGGAAGCGATCCATCCTGTGCGTGTCCATCTAGGATGCTTCACATATCCTAGAACTTTCCTGTGCAGACCTGCCACAGCAATCACAAACACAGTGCCCCATGACATGAGAACATGCATCAATTCTAATCTGATGAAGAAGAGAGCCACCTCTCTTCTGACAGAGACGATCGCATCCATTTCATTTTGGTTCTTCAAGGAACGGTTATCGGCTAGAACAACAGCAACAACAGCACCCAAGACAGCAGAAACAACAGAAGTGAAAATAAGAACAAAGGCAACAGCAGCAGGAGTGACAGCAGTAACAGCATCAACCACACCCATAACCACAACCGTGGACCGCGTCGCAACAGCCCCAACGTCAACCATCCCTGTGAAAAGAGCATATCAACCACAAATGGCGATCACAACAACCACAACCACAAACGGCAATCAACAACCACAACCACGGCTGCAACAGCAGCAACGCCAACCACAATGGTAACAGCACCAACAGGATCAACCACACCGATAACCACAACCATGAAACCACGTCGCAACGGCCCCACCCCAACCACATCTGCAAAGAGCAATATCAACCACAGACAGCAATCACAACAACCACAACCACAACCACGGCTGCAACAAGAGCAACAGCAACCAGAACAGTAAGAGCAACAACAGCATCAACCACACCGATAACCACAACCATGAACCACGTCGCAATAGGCCCAACCTCAACCACATCTGCGAAAAGAGCAAGATCAGCCACAATCACACCCACCACGATAGTAACAGCAACAGCACTGATCGCAGCAACTGTGAATGGAATACGCAATGGCAGAAAACGTGGTGACAAACAGCGGCCATTGCAGTACAGAGGAGAAGGAAAGGATGAGAAGAAGAAGAATAGTGAAAACAGTGGCCAACTGCCTTTTGCAATCGAACTCGACTTCTTCACACTTGTCATGCATGCAAACAGCGAAACAGCAAACTGGCGACATGCGCCCACACAGTACTCAAAGATATCGTAACCAGGTAAGAGTTCTCTTCAAACTGGCTATGGCGACTGAGCGCCCACACARCTCACTGTTSGCACTCTGGATCACCCTGGATGTCCCACACGCACACTCAGTGTTCATACCCAACACACACACAGTACACACACTCTGCACTCTACACGGAGCTATGGCAGCTATGGCTGCCACTACCTATCGCTATGACTACAGTGCTTCACTCTTKCCCCCTTCGTCTTCGGGCCTCCAGCCGACCTCCTTGCACTAGACGCTRWGGCAGCGCTACCGCATGGYTTCCGCCTGAAYGAATGAATGGCTGGACGCAGCCTCTTGATTTATACTTCTGCGCTGCGTTGGTCTGCCCTGTATCCCTGGCCCATGGTGCACACAGTCCCCMCMGTGGTACTTGCTGGACCGGACTGGTACTTTCTAGACTCTCCCTTGACTGCATGGCGACGACCCTACGACGCAGTGCAGTTGCACTGGGGTCCTGCTGTTTGAYCTCGCCACTTGTCCTCGTCTACARCGTGGGCTTGCTTTAGTCACACCACTTGGCCACTTGCCTGCACCACTTGACCACTTGCCGACCTTCTAGAAGGACTGCAGCTAGACTTCTAATCTACAGGTCTACAGATCGAATCCTGGCTACCTATAGACCTACGACAGACCTACTTACCACTGGCGGTTCTACAGGTCGCAGGTTCAATTCTTCGAGTTGGCACAGGTATTGTACACAGGTAAGTTGGGGAACTAGGGATCGAACCCTGGGATCTGCATCAGCTACTTCGAACTGGTGAATACCGTTTCATTAACATCATGTGGCCCGATGGACCACGAATCAGATATTAAACTAATCAGAGCAGATACTACACACTCGATCTATTTTTAGCCAAAACGCCGAGAAAGGTATTGGGTTGAATGTGTGTGTGTGTGTGTGTGTGTGTGTGTGTGTGTGTGTGTGTGTGTGTTCTCTTTTTTTCTTTTTTTTTTAAATTTGGACCATTTCTCGATTTATGCGTGTCATCCTTTGCGCAGGGGCCATGCTAACCTTCTCTGTGTCGTTCCAATTTTAATGGATGTCCCAAAGGACGGTCGAATGTGGGTTCTGATTTTACGAACTATTTATTTTTAAGGCGGGTTAGAGTCCTTGGGTGGTGGTGGTGGGGGGGTGTTATCGACAGAAGGTTGTGCAAGCTTGAAAGTCAATCCTCGTTGGGATAATACATGCTGCCAGCAAATCCACTGGCCGTAAAAAGGAGGGAGCCATAAAGTGAGTTCCATTGAAGTTGGATTTGGAGGTGTACGAGCAACCGGGCAGATGCTCCCTGGAATAGGATGGAGGTCCTTCTCATAGGGGGACGAGGGGGGGGAGTAAAAAAAAAAATAGACAATTTCAACCTGATGAAAGCTGGCTCTCCTATCGATCTTCCAATCATGCATGTGAAGACCGGTCCTGCATACTTAACGAGCCCTGCACTTGTACACTTCCACATAGTAATAGTAAGTTGAAAGGATGATGTCTTCTTTTTGTGAGATATACACTCCATGAGTCCATGTACTATATAGTTTCATTTCGTATGGGGTATAGCCAAGTGGTAAGGCAACGGGTTTTGGCCTTGTCATTCGGAGGTTCGAGTCCTTCTACCCCAATTTTTGCATTTTTTATTCAAATAAAATGTATAGGATAATATAAGTATCATTCAAGGTTATTCGTTGAATATGCAATCTCACGTAAGTGAGTGAGAACATGGATAACGTTTTGCGAGGGTTGCTTCATCCAATGTGATATTCAAAGGCAGAGACAACTGCAGATTACACTTGGCATTTGAAACACTTGCCTTGGGTGTTACAGAGAAGCCTTCTATTTTCCCTTTTTTCGAGCCTGCTGGATGCCAGGAAGAGTGCAGGACAGAGAAACAGATATTCACTAAAGATAAGTAGCAAGAAATCTCAGACTTTCCGCAGGTATTTTGCCAATTCAGATGCACGCTGGCTATGGCTATCTGGAGGGCAATTCTACAGATAACAGGTGAAGAAATAGGCACAGTTGCTGATAACTTGCTGCCGTACAGCTTGACTTGTCCAGAGGATAGAACCAACATATCAGGAATTCAGGCCGGTTCAGGGGGGATGGACTGCACCGACAGATTTGCAGTGTAGACAGACAACACACCCAGAGAGTCACAACTCAGTTCTAACCACGAAACTTACCGGCAAAAAAGAACAGTATAAGAGCATTCTAAGTAGAAGGTAAATGAAAGTGATATACTCAAGATGATGTTCATCCCAGCAGCAAAGCATGATATCAATTGCACACAATAGCACATAATCTGCTCTCTGTCTGTCTGTCTGTATGTTTGTCTGTCTGTCTGTCTGTCTGTCTGTCTGTCTGTCTGTCTGTCTGCCTGTCTGCCTGTCTGCCTGTCTGTGTCTGTCTGTCTGTCTGTCTGTCTCTCTCCTCTCTCTCTCTCTCTCTCCCCCCC